ACACAGGAGATTACGATGCATCGCTAAAGAATGATGAGGCGACTGTAAACCATGTAAACTCATGGCACGGATGGACTTGGAGCACATTATACTGAGTGCAGTTAGTCAGTCACCAAAGGACAGATGCTGTGTGAGACCACTTTATAAAGAAAATGCCAAGATAAAGACTTTTCATACTAAAACAGAGGGAGAAACTTATTTTTTTCAATTCTTATGAGTCAGACAATGCATCTGACATTTGTAATACAGAGCTCTTAAAAGGATCCTTAGACAGTCTCCTATAACTGGTAAGAAAAACACTGCAAAGACTCGAGTCAAAATAAAACCAAATAAACCAGCTACTAAACTACACATCGTATGGGAGTCAAAAATTCCGGTAAATATAACAGAAGAGATGGAAACACAAGTTTCTTATTATCACACTTCATACATGATAAAACGTAACAGCTAACTTATTTTTGGCAAAATGATTATAGATTGTAACACTCTGCCTTACACAAACTTGCTTGACTGTCAAAAAGGCATCTTAACTGGTGCATGTCATGCTAACTGCAGGCATGCAAGCACGGTGCTGTCTCGGAGGAGCCCAGAGACAGCTGAAGCTTCAACACTTGGGCAGAGATCACACCACCAGTGTTCACTTGGCCAGGTGTTTAAAGAGGAAGAGGGAGAAGCTCAACAATGTCGAGTTAATTGAAGCCAGACAAAGCTCATGAGTAATACAAATCATACAGATGTTCCCCTTCCTCCCCCACCCCTCAAGAAAAAGATGACCTTTGTGGGCAATGTATAGCACTTGTGATTTTCTAGAACCTTTTTGAAGAAGATAAAACATAGTTTCACATGCCTCTCTGAAAACTCTACAATCACAACATGACTATGTCTCCATCAATACACTAGGTTCAGGTCATGTTTCAGCTTTTTCATTACTGCTGCTGCAGGATGAGGAGCACAGGAAAGGCAAGCAGTAATTAAAATGTTATAGAGCTGAAGGAGCTGAAAGAAACTGCATTCTCCTAGGTACTTTAGAGAAACAAATCCACAGCAACTCGTGTATAAGAGAGTTTTATGTAAAGAAAGTGTGCATCACAAAAACATCCCAACCCAATGCTGCCCAAGCCCACAAGTCCAACATTAACCCATTAACCCAACACCAGTCCACAAAGTCCTCCACCTCACAAAACAGAGGCAATGATGCTGACTGCAGGAGGAAAGCTGAGTCAGTGAACAAACAAGCATCTCAGCACTAGCAGGGGTCTCCACATGGCTGCTCCAGCACCCAGGGCTGCATCGGGATAGGTCCATGTAGCTTCTCCTTGGGGATGTCTTGTAGGAAGTCAATCTTGCAAGCTGAAGCAGGGAACTGCTAAGGCAGCTGCACCCTGGCGCGACCATCACAAGCAAGAGACCCACGAGCTAGAAAGGCAAGGCTCACCACCCATTTATCCCTCCGCTTTTCAATTAGCCCCACATGTGATTATCGGCCAGGTTGGCACAATTAACTAACTCAGGTGCAGTATACTTCTTCTCTAAGGTGACCAGATTTTAACATTGGTAAAGCGGGGGCAAAAGCGGGACACCATCGATAAAACTCATATCCTGGCGAAATAGCCACATGGCAGCCGAAAACCGTATACCCTAGCTTTTTGTGCATTCTTTCCAAAAATCGGGACTTTTTAAAAACGCCGCGGGACGCGGGAAAAATTGTTAAAAATTGGGACTGTCCCGCCCAAAGCGGGATGTCTGGTCACCTTATTCTTCTCACCAAGCACCGTGAAGCAAGCCAGGCCAGAGCAGGACTCTAAGCAAATGTACAGATAAGAGGAACTATACAATGGAGGGGGAGTGGCTCTGGAGCAAAAAGCAAACCAACAGAAGCCAAAAGAGTAGATCTGTGAGTTAGGCTAGTGGGTGGCATAAAAACAGAATTGAGTATTTTCTTCCTGATCTTTACAGAATGTTGTTGTTAAGTGCCATCAATTTGGTTCCGACCCATAACGAACTTATGCACAAAAGAACGAAATACTGCCCAGGCCTGCACCATCCTCGGAATTGTTCATGTGCTTGAGCCCATTGTCGCAGCCACGGTGTCCATATATTTCCTTGAGGCCCTTTCTCGCCTTAGCTGTCCCTCTACTTTGCCCAACATGATGTCCTTCTCCAGAGACTGGTCTCTCCTGACCACATGTCCAAAGTACGTGAGACGAAGCCTCACCATCCTACCTCTTCGTTGATCCTTTCAGCAGTCCCTGGTACTTTCAATATTCTTCCTTTCAGCAGTCCCTGGTACTTTCAATATTCTTCTCATGCACCAACACTCAATTGTATCAATTCTTATTCGGTAATCTTTATTCAGTGCCCAACTTTCACATGCAGATGAGGCAATGGAAATACCAAGGCTCAGGTCAAGCACCTGCCTATTAGTCTACAAAGTGACATCCTTGCTTTTCAGTACTCTAAGGAGATCGTGCGCATCTTCTGATCTATTGATTGCTGCCTCATGCACCAACACTCAACTGTATCAATTCTTATTCGGTAATCTTTATTCAGTGCCCAACTTTCACATGCATATGAGGCAATGGAAATACCACGGCTCAGGTCAAGCGCCTGCCTATTAGTCTACAAAGTGACATCCTTGCTTTTCAGTACTCTAAGGAGATCGTGCGCATCTTCTGATCTATTGATTGCTGCTTCATGAGCATAGACTGTGGATCCAAGCCAGGCATAATCCTTGACAACTTCAGTCTTTTCTCTGTATACCATGAGGCTACCTACTGATCCAGTTGTGTGGATCTGGGCTTGCTTTACACCGATAATCCACACTGCAGGCTGTAACCCCTGATCTTCAAGCCCTCCTCACTTTCAGCAAGCAAGGCTGTCACCTCCATCTGGCAGGTGGTTAGTAATCCTTCCTCCAATCCTTATGCCACATCCTTCTTCGTACAGTGTAGCTTCTCTGATGATTTGCTCAGCATATATATTGAATACGTATGGTGAGAAGATATCATCCTGATGCACACCTTTCCTGATTTTAAAACATGTAATATTCCCTTGTTCTGTTCAAACAACTGCTTCTTGGTCCAGGTAGAGGTTATAATGAAGTGTTCTGGAATTTCCGTTCGTCTCAATGTTATCCACAGTTTTCTGTCAAAGGCCTTGGCATTGCCAATAAAACACAAGCAAACCTTTTCCTGGTTTATTCAAACCTACTCTTTGACTTCAACCAAGATCCACCTGACATCAGCAGGGATAGCCATAGTTACTCATCCTCTTCTGAATCCAGGTCCCTGTCGATGTATTGCTGCAAACTGTGATTGAATGATCTCCCGCTAAATTTTAGTTACATGTGATATTAGTGATATCGTTCTATATTTCCACATTCTGTTGGTTCAGTTTTATTTGGAAGGGGTGCAAATATAGATTTCTTCCAGTTAATTGTCCAGGCAGCTGTCTTCCAAATTTGTCATAGGTATGTGAATGCTTACAGTACTTCATCAGCTTGTTGAAATATTTCAATGGCTATTCCATCACTTTCTGGAGCCTTGGAAACCCGGAGGGGAAGTTCTACTCTGTTCTTGACGGTCACTATGAGTGGGAATGGACCCCACTGCAATGGGTTGGGTTTGTTCAGAGCTCATGACTGGTCAAATAGACACAGTGCAATTCTGGACGTCGTAGAGATGGTAACCATAAAATGTGAGAGTACCCGAGGAGTTCTAGAACCATGTCAAATGTTAAAGACAAAATGAAGTTTGCTTGTGGATTAAAACACTACCTGGTTTGGGGAGGTTAGGGAGGATGCTGGGTAGAAGCAATAATGAAGTAAACCAAGTGCAATCTTGAATTTATTTAAGTCATTGTCAGAAATGAAAGACACATTGTCTTATATTTCATAAGAGAAAACAAAAACCTTCATTGAACACAAAAATCACAATCAGGGAAGCTACAGTTGGACTTTTCCCAAGGGCAAACATGAGTAAAACATTAAGTGTGGCGAAAAAAGGGAGAAAAGCTGGTGAAAAAAAAAGGAGAAAATTCTTAGCCAGTGTACTGAAGCCACTGGAGATAAGTTATCACTTGGAGAGAGAGGAATCAACATCTTAGGCCAGAGAAGTCCCATGAAGGGCTCACCTTCTGCCACACACCCTGAATACTAGGCTATGCACTTCTTCAGGCTGACCGACACATGGCACCTCCGCAGGTACCAGCTATCATATCGACGAGCAAGTCTGTCTCCTCCAGGAGACTACAACCTCTCTGACCTCAAAGGCCATCTTGCGTACTGAGATGTCCTCAGCACACAGCACAGTGCCTGGCCTAGGACAAGAGAAGAGCTTGATGCTTGCTGGATAAAACTACACTGTGAAGGGCATGGGTTCAACGGGTCATTCCAAAGGTGTATGTCATTAAGGGAATTGTTTTGAAGCTTCTGGACGCTGTAAGTACATCTTTGTGTCTCCGTGTCTTCCTTTATATCATGCACCCAATAATGACAATGACTATCTATGACCCACTGACTGTGTGTCTTAAGAAGGCGGCCAAATGACAAAATACTGATTTTAGGACCCAGTCTTATTATAAGTAATGATTTGGTGTTCTGTAAGGAGACCTGCCTATCTATCAGTGTTGGTGATAATGACAAAGTTGATGATAAAGTCCTTTCCTTTTAAAATGAGGCATATATATTTACAAAATACCAAATACATTCCCTATAAAGACACTCATCTCCATTTAAGCTGGTAACTGCTCCTAAATATTCCTTTATCAAAGACAGCAAGCTATACCATACGAACCTCATTTAACCCTAGATTCAAAGGCATTCATCACATGAACATACACACACATAGGTCTACAGTATGGAAATGAGGCAGCTCCCAAGCATCTCTCTCTGTTCTTCATCAGTTAAAAGAAACTTTTCTGATACAAGAAAGAAGGAAACCTGATGAGGATTTACGCCCAACGACAGCAAGCACCTACAACAGATGTTAAAGGGTACTTACTGGAAGCTCAGGAGCACGTCTCAGCATCTGAAGGGAAATATAACAGCCGACTGAATGGCCAATGAGCACAAGTTTCATTTCCTTTGGCACGTGAGTTCTTAGGAAAGCCAGTTTGTGTTCTGTTTGACCGCAGAGTCCATAGATGTCCTTGATTTTTTGAGCACTGGAATCTAAAATCAAAATATGAACCTTTTTATTCACTAAATTGTCATAAGTTGCTGTGGAACAAAATCTAAACCCACACACATACAAGCCATAAAGAAACCATCGCTGACCAGTGGGTTCCGATTCACAGTGGCCTAGGAGGGAAACTGCTCCCTTTGGGTTTCTGAGGCGATAAATCTTTGGACAGGAGCAGCTTTCTCCTCTTTCCGCTTTCCCCAGAGCAGCCGGTGGTTTCAAACCGGAGCCCAATGCATAAGCCACGACACCAACTTTCCCAGGAGTAGTTTAAGCCACTGGTTTCCAAAATTGACCATGAATCCAAGTCCCCTCGAGGGCGTGTGAAAGCACGTACGCGTGGTCTCCAAGCCCAGAGGTTCTGATGCAGCAGGACTCAGTTGGGGTCCGATCCTTCCTAGATTGTCAGGAGTTGTGATGAGGCAGTCCCCAGAACCGCGCTTTGGGAATCACTGTCAGGGTTGAAGCGCGGTTATACTACTACCAGACCCCTAAAGAGTTGACACAATTGCTTCCATATTGTTTACAAATCAAGATGGGAAGACTTGAGTAGTAATGCTGCAAATAGTTTCTTCTAACCAGTGTTCATTTTTGCAAAATTACATCCCTTTCACCCACCTACAACAAAAACTCTTAATCCTCCACCCTGTTTTCCTTAGCCTCTTCCTGATGCTGTCCTATAACGGACGATAGATTTTCACCACTCTGCATCCTACCCCCACCCATCCCAAGAATGTAAACTTAACAATTTCTCACTGCTACATCTTCCTTGCCAAGAAGAGTACTTGGACATGAAATTCTTCGCAAATACAAGGTTCGTTGAATGAATGAATGAGCAGTCCTAGTCACAAGTTAGTGATCCAGTCTCCCAGGAACATTTCTCAACCACAAGTGATCTCTCCACACACAAACATGCCCCTCTGGCATTTTCTGCTGTACTGAGATGACTCTGTGACCATTTATATATTAATAACTCAGTTATTTTATGTGGACTGGCTGGCTAAGAATCACATTCTTAGTAAAACTTGTACTGTCTTTATAGTAGGATAGCTCCTAATAGTTGGCGCTGTAATAAAACTTTCATTTAACATCAGGTAGGAAACAAAACAAAACTGCCGCTTACAGATTTCCTTTCTCAACTAGATGAGGGAGATTTTTTAAATTCATGGGGAAATGGGATTAAAAGGTGGTTTTTTTCATGAACTTTTCAAAGCTCTCTCTTGAATTTATAATCTGAACAGGCTTCCCAACTAGAAATGTTGTTTTAGGCTCATCTTCTCCCTTTCGCCATCATCCACTTGACTTTGATTACCAAGGTGACTTTGTGGGCACTTTCTCTTAGCAACTTCTCAAATCTATCCCTTCCATTTTATCCTTAAGCCCACTGCCATCGAGTTTCCACGGTGACCCTATACAGCATTTCCAAGGCTTTTAAACCTTGATGGGAGTACCTGTAGAATGGCTGGTGGTTTGAATTGCCAACCTTGTAAAGATATTCCCCAATATGTGGGTCTCTTTGTTACTGTTGCTGTTGTTGTACGTAGAGAGTATCTTTCTATTCCTTTTGATGCTTTATATTATCAAGGCAACAGTCCTGAAAAATAAGTTTAACGTCATTTTTCTTCCACTGTTCTCATTAAAGTACAAATTCTTTAGTGCGATTTACAAGGGACGCCATAAACTCGTTCCAGGGAATTTTTCAGCTTCATCTCTAGTAGTCTCCACCAACTCCCCGCCACCGCCCCGGCCCAATCAGACTCAATGTCATCAAGCAGATGCTGACAGGGTAGCCTCCTACCCTATAGGACAGGGTAGAACTGCCCCTTTATGTTTCTGAGGCTATAACTGTTCACTGGAATAGAAACCCCCATTTCTCCCAGAGGGACCGGTGGTTTCAAACTGCCAACCTTGTAGAACTCCCTGCCTTGGGCTCATGTAGTCATTCCATTTTACCTCCATGTTCTCTGTTGGCCACAATCCTGGAAAGACAGAAAGCTCTACTGGTTTTCTTTCTTTTGGGGCAGGTCAGGGGAGAGGAATTGGGGGAGAAGTGGTTTATTGTTTCTTTAGAGACGCAAACCCCATTAGTTGAAAGACTGTCCAACTTTCTTAGATCACTTTTTTCATGTGCTAAAAATAAACGAATATGATTTCAAGCTTTTGTTTGATACTTTATGAACAAATGACTTGAAACAGTTGAAAATGAATCTGTCCTCCAGTAAGCTGACCCAATGGTAAATCAAAGCTGGAAAGTGTTTATATTTCTAATTCCTCAAATTTTCTTTTCACACTTTTTTTGGTCCCCCGGATCACCTCCTTTTGACATTAGTGAACATCTGTTCTCCCAATTGTACTCAACTTATAATTGTGATAATGTGGTGCCGCTAGAATATTATTTCCAACTGTTCAGAGTTTTCACATGTGTTAGCATGAAGCAAAGCACCACACGTTCCTTTCAACATCTGAAGGGTGGTTACAACCTATGTCTTTTCTCCCACTGATGACATGCTTTCCATACCACCTTAGGCATGTCAGAAAACCTCTACCTTAGGACGATAATCTTGGATGAGGAATAATACGAGGGGGCTTCAAAAAGTTTGTGGAATAATTCTATTATCTTTGAGTGCAGTTTTTCCTGACCTTTTTGAAGCTCCCTTGTATATCGGTCCTACCTGACCAAAGCCAATTAATACAGTGTATTTACCGACCATAACCTCCAATATGTACATCAGGGCAGAGCAGAGCTCCTCTAGTGAGATAGGATTTGGTGAGGCCCAGCGGCCTGCACTGTTCCTTGAACTGCTGGGCTACTGAGAACCCAGATGGAAAGCACTCCTTCGAGAGGGCAGACACTTACTGCTCTGTTCTGTTGCTTCCCTCAGAGCCCCACCACTAGAAGGTTGTCAACAGCTCCTTGGTCCTGAGGATGAGTGGCCCTTTCCCCTGCACGCAACCCTAACTTCCACGGGCCCTGGGGGCCTCTAGAGGGCACTGTTTTCATTAGGTAGCAAAGAACCAAGCTTTAATTATGCATTATCAGCTCCACTATATACAGGGTGCCTGAAAAGCAACAGGCATGCTCAAAATAAATTGATATTCTGAAATTGATTGTGATAATGATTGTACCATTCTTCTTGATAGGACTGAACTACTGAATTGTCTGATATGTGGATTAAAGTGCCAAACTGTTAAAACATTTTTAAAAAATTGATAAATGATACGATTCTAGTTTAAAAAATGAGTTAAAGGAATTTCCTAGAAATGTCAAAACCCTACAGATACTTTCTCCTCATTTTCCTTGCCAGAGCTTATTGGGGAAGAGCTAAGGCTGCGGTTCTGAAACACGAGCAGTACCTTCGGCATTACTTGGAAACGCGCTGTTAGAAATGCACATTCTCAGGCCCCCCACCCCATCCCTACTGGGGGAGGGGCACCGTAAGTTGTTAAAGAACCCTCCACTGACTTTCACACTCGTCATATTTAAGCCACTGATTATGGATCCCCTTTCAAGTCTGAAGTTCACTTTCAACATTGCTATTCCTATACAGTTTCAACGTTCATTTTTATCTTCAGCCTGACTTCAGGTAGCTCATTGTGACACACCTGAGTTCAATGTTGCTCAATCACTAAGTAGTCCAAGAGGAGAGTATAGTTTCTCACTATTACCAGTGGCTTTTCTCCCCCCAAATCTGCAAAAAATTAGCTAGTAATTCATCATTAAGAATATCAACATGACCCCTTTTTATGAAGATGGCGCTGAAGGCGAAGAAGGAAGCTCCAGCCCCTCCCAAAATGGAAGCCAAAGCAAAGGCTTTAAAAGCCTAGAAGGCCGTGCTGAAAGGCGTCCACAGCCACAAAAAAAGATCCGCACGTCACCCACCTTCCAGCGGCCCAAGACCCTCAGACTAAGAAGACAGCCCCAATACCCTCAGAGGGGCGCCCCTAGGAGCCATAAACTGGACCATCATGCCGTCATCAAGTTCCCCTTGACCACAGTGTCTGCCATGAAGAAGATCGAAGATAACAAACAACACACTTGTGTTCGTTGTGGATGTCAAAGCAACAAACACCAGATCAAACAGGCTGTGAAGAAGCACTATGACATTGACGTAGCCAAGGTCAACACCTTGATCGGGCCTGCCGGTGAGAAGGCATATGTTCCTCTGGCTCCTGACTATGACGCTTTAGATGTTGCCAACGAAATTGGAATCATCTAAACTGAGCCCAGCTGGCTAATGCTAAATACAAACTTGTTCAATTAAAACAAAAAAGAATATCAGCGGACAAAAGTATTGGCCTTCACTGAGCACCCTGCTGGCATGCTCAGTACTTCCTAGATCCCTCATTCAACAGCGTATCTCTCCTTTGGACAGAGTTCGGGTAACAACTCAAGGTGGCTGGCAGTTTGGGGAAGTTTAATGTGTTAAAGAAGCCTTGCTTTGCTAAGAAGCACTCTTTTAGCATCTCTGTTTTCTAAGCACAAAGCAAACCACATTCTAAGCAACCATCTATATTTCCTTACAAAGGCCAAACTATAGGATTAACTCTCTAATTTCTTGGGAACATATGTACAGAAATAAGTTGAAAACATTAAAGAAGTGCACTTTAAATATTTTACAGCATATGAAGTACCTGAGATACGTTTTATTCACTTTTAACCACATTTCAATATGGATAGTTACTGAAGGAGATGCTTTTAATCAAGTAATCAAGTCTATCTGTTCAGTTTCACTTCACTATTGCAATTTAAAAATCTTTCATTCCTAGGTAATCAATGTACATTTAATGTAGAAGTACATCTTAGCCTTAAAACTCTAAAATGCAGAGAGTAGCCAAAAAAGGGGTGAGAAATGTTGCTTGGCTGGTGGCAATGTCTGCAGCACACTGCCCACATGGTCGGCTATCCACACAGGGCCCTGAGCTCAGCGAGGGAGTACGGACTTCCCTTCCTGTTGGGAAGTCTCTGGTCATTGCTGAAGACATCTTCCCA